CTCCCCCCCCCCCCCCAAATAGCATCCTACCTCCCCCAATGTTCAATATCGGCAACAGTGAGGGGCACCCTACCATAACCAGCACCCTACCAGACATACCGCCTTACCGGGTCGGTGTCATTTTTTGACACCCAAGGCTGATGTCAAAAGAACTATACCCTAAATTAAATATCTTCTAATGTTCTTAAAAGACTAAATGAAAGAAAATACTTCTACAGTTTATATCATCATCACATCAAGAACATCCAAAAACTTCAAATTGAACATCCAAATTTAAATATCACAGGGTGTCAAAAATAAACTTCAATTGCAAGCAGATAATTAGATGCCAATTCATCCTTGACATATCAACTTCTATTTGGCAAAACCACTTAGTAACAATTTGAGAACCTGCCTCACATCTTTTGGAGATTTAATCTGAAGAGATTTATTTAGAACCTGCTAAAAATCTAAAATCAAACTCAAGGTTTAAAAAAAAACTCTGTGCCAGACCAACCAACACATCAATTGAGTCAATAGAGATTAAACCTGTTACTCAAAGTGCATTTCAGATCGCGTTAAGCAGGTGATATTGTCTGGTGTTCTTCTCTCTTATGTCTCTCTTGCAGTTTGTTACAGCTTGTGGAGAACTCTTATGAAGAAGAGAGCCTTGAGGAGTTGTTATAACTTATAACATGATGGAGGGAGAGAAAAGGAGAGAGAGAGAGAGAGAGAGTGGTTGGGAAGAAGATTTACTGATACTTCTCGTATGTAACTCCAATTGTTTACTGCCTTATATAGGCTTACACCACCAGTACAAGCAACAACACTAATAAGATGTAAAACAATATAGGGCTAAAAACAGAACAAGGTAAAATAGTAAGTAGTGATGTCCTGCATCACAGTTACAGTTGAATGGGCAATAAGGAAAAGATGTAAAAATGTAATGTACTAGGTTTATGTGATACGTTAATTATTATTATATTGTTATCCAAGAATGGAAAATTTACAAAAAAAAGTATAAATTGAGAGAATAAAAATCAGATCTGGAGTATATAAACAGTGTTTTTATTATTGTGGAACTGCTGTCCAGAACTATGTTTCCATACATATAAATAGAGGACTAAACAACACAACCATTACAAATAGACACAACAGTTCCTAACCAACACATCTGTTGGAAACTGTCATAAAACTGCCTGTAACTGCCTAACTGCCTGCCCTTTTTTTACTTATTTATTTTTAAATTTAAACTATATTCTGGACTGGAATTAACCAACATTCACCCCCTTGATTCCAGTCCTCATTCCTGCCAAATCTTCAATGCCCATCAGTTGCCTCATCTCGATAAACTTGACCCTCGGTAATGCTTTGGTCAAGATATCAGCTTTCTGCTCGTCACCACTTACATGCTCAATCCTTACTAGCTCTTTCTCGACACATTCACGAATGAAATGATATCGAGTGTCAATATGCTTACTTCTCCCATGGAACACTGGATTCTTCATTAACATGATTGCAGCCTTG